AACAAACTCCTAGTCTAATTTCAAAGCATGCCCACGTGCAGAGGCATGTGCAGGTGGTTTGTGCTTTTTCTTTAGAGCTGTACTGGTATAAAACTCGCATGGAAACAATGCATATTCCTCTTCCAAAGCGCACATTTCTGCAGGCATTCAGCCCGCTAGGACCTCCTGTGGCTGGTTCGCAGAGCGCTCTGGTGATCCCTGCCGAGCCACACTGCCTCTCTCGGCTTGGGAACGTATGCCAACTGTGGCTGAAGCAATATAAGTTTCATTGCCTCCAACTCAAAAATGATCTTTATGGCTTGGAAAGCTGCAGGATTTCCCAGGAGCTTTGGTTCTCAGTACAACCTGGCAGCCATGGAATTGTGAATACTGAGCAGGAGTTACAAGGGTTGAGCACACAGGGATTAGACAAATGCAAAATGCACAAATGTATGCAGTGTTTGCAATGAGTATGGGCTGGTGGCGTACCTCTGGAATACAACCTGTGCAGCTGCTATAGCAGTTACCCCCGTTACCTCCCAGTGTCGTGCTTTTGGTGTGTGAGAACCCAAATTCACCACCTGTGCATGCACAGCAGGCACCTGCAGCTCAGGCTGCTGAGTGGAACATCAGATGTCCTCCCAAATACGGTTACCTATTTGCTTCATGGCATCAGTGACTTCAGGAGAAACAGTTGTTCTGCTTCTCTTTGAAGAAGGAAGCAAGGGGGTCCCCTGAGGTCATCCCTTCTGTTGAATCTGAAAGGTGTAAGTACATGATGATCCCTAGTTCATCATGTCTGTGACACTAAATTCCCCCAAAGTTGTTTTTACCAGGATTTCATCCTTCTACTTTTGTTGGTTGTTCTACAAAGGCATTCTCTGGTGCTCTGTAAGAGCCAATGAAATATACCCACCAGACATAGAAAGGAATAGTAATGGGGGAACAAGGCCATGAAACCCAGAGAGAACAGGAGCAAATACTCTCACAGTTCCCAGGATTTCAGCCTGAGAACGAAGCAGAAGAAAGCTTCTTAGCAAGACTGCTGTTTGTTATTTTGCTGCCCCCCGCCCTTTTTTTTTTTTTTAAGGAAATAAAGAATAAATTTAGAATCACAAATCAGAACTCTAACCACTGGGGAAAGCAGGTGCTTGTTTTGTTTTGGAGCACGTTGTTATGATCCAGCTATTGTAAGGAATGTCAGGGAGAGCCAACAGCCAGAACAAGGCACAGGTCAGCTCGGACCAAACTGACAGCTGTCTGTTTTGTTGTCTCATGTTCTGCTGGAAAGCCACAGATGCTGTAGTGACGAGTGTTGTATAGGGTAGCAGGTGGGCTAGTACTGCTTACTGACAAACCTTTGTTTTGATCCAAATAAAAATAAAAATCGGTGAAGACAGTGCCACTCCCTGTCACTGAGCCTTGTTTCCTGACCTTGGTAATGAAAAATAACAGGAGTTTGCTCCAGGGAAAAGCAATCTCCAAGAGTGATAAGAGACAATTACTGTGACAGGCAGGGGCTGGATGGATGTTGAAGTGAACCACGAGATGAATGTCACCACCCCAATTGATCCAGATTAGAGACTTACTATGAAGCAGCCCTGTTGTGATTACAGGCTATCATACTAAAAAGTTGCTTTCGCTCCAGTTGTCCTAAGCCTCATCGGTTTTTCCTTCTCTAGTTCCATTTAAAAACAGGGAGCCCCATCCTACAGCACCGTAAGCCAGGCTCTGGCCTGATGTTCCCTGCCCAAGGTGCCTTCTGTACACACAAATGTGAAAACGAGAGCAACCATCTGTTTTCTCGCTCCAGGACTTTGTGCTTTGCTCTCAGCAAGGTGTGGGGTAAGAGCAGCTCCCAGGGGTAAGGCTGGAAGGTGAGGCACTCAGAGATGCTGTTTGGAACAAATGCCTGCCCTGGGATACCTCACAGTTTGCTGCTGACCGATTCTGTAGCAAGCTGCTAGCCCTGAAGTACTGCCTCAGCTGCACAAGACCAAGAGAGGGAATGGTTTCTGCTGTATCATCCTGCACCACACGCTCCTGAGTACCTGACCCAGCCCCGTTTAGGGTCCTTCTTCCCTCCCACTTGCCAAGTCCCAGTCCAGCGCTGAGGGACAGATTCACCTTACACGCACTTATTTATCCAAGCAAATTTTTAGGCTTCAAAATCCCTGCTTTTCAGGAGCAGCCATGCCTTTAGACACCTAAAGACCTTAAAAATCTTTATGCATGCTGAAATGCCGAGGTGTTATTGAAAGAGGGGAGATCAGTGGCTACTTGTCAAGTCCAAGTCCTTCTGAACACCTCTGAGATGGAGCCTCATGACACTGAGCGAGCTGTGGGTACCGCACAACCTCCTCCTCCCTCCCAAGCCTCCTGTTCAAGAGGCTCCCAGGGATCAGATTCATAACCCTACAGTTTCTGAGATCTTTTTACTCCTATGGGTTTTGCTCAAAAGGCTCAAATATGAAAACCAAAATGTATGAGTCAGTCTCGTGGCTGCAGCTTGTAGCCTTCTCTTCATGTTGAGGCATGGGGAAAATCTCTCTGTGCAAAATAAAGGACTTGGAAACAAAGCTTGGCGGAGGACATAGGACAGAGCCTAAGCCTGTCTGTCACAGCTTGCCAAAGAAATCAAGATCAAGGGCTAAAACTACCTAATGACAGTCTTGTGGCCCTGAGAGATTAATTGCTGAGTCTTGCTGTGCTTCTGGATGGAAAAATATCCTTACCACCCAACTGCAGTTCCAGTGACCTCACTAATGAGGAGAGGGGGATGGTGTAAGAGGTGCTCTTTCAAGAAAGGGGAAACTTCATTTCTGCTGTGCAAATAAATGAGGGACTTCCCCACCTGAGGATGGCAAACAGAAAACATTAGAGCTGGTGACGGTCCTGTGTTTTGTGACATTCACATCAAGATCAAAGCCAAACCCACCCAAGCTGGTTCTGCAATATTCCTGTCCATCCCCCTAAAGGATTTCCTAAAGCATGGCCTCACTGTTCACAGGAAAGGTTTTGTCTCAGACCCCTAATACTGAATCTAAGGTTTTAAGCAGGAGCAAAAACCCCAGGAACTTTTATTCTCAGATAAAGCACATCCATGACAACCAAGTTTCCTTTCCTCCCCGTCACACTGACTTCCTAACATGCCCAGGTGACACGTCCTATCATTACCTTTTATTTTCCATTTTACACGCTTTCCCCTGCAAGATTCAACGGAGAGGAAACAGCCTGCTGTCAATGCCTCAGCAAAACAAAGAGCTGTATGCGGGCCCTAAATACCTGAGGGGAACAATCTCTGTGTCAGCACACAGATGCCTGTCACCGCAGGCAGCAGCAGGAGCGGAGGCCGCAGGCTGCAGAGAGCCGCGTGCTGCAGGCCACGGCCGTACGTGCAGAGGGCAGCTGCCACTGCCAAAGCAGATTATTTCTATTTCCACACAGCTTCAACACCAAACCGTATCGATGAGCAAATCGCCAACCTCCACCCACTCCCTGGGAGCTCACACTGCTTTTTTCTGCCTTGTCCTTCTCTGCACAGCAATCCGCTTTCTGCTCCGCTTTTCTTTGCCCCTCTCCACCATCCTACCCCTTTTATCTTTTCTGGATTTTCCTGATTTCACTCCTATCTGCAGCATAGGGATACACGAGTATTTTCACGGGGACATCTCCATTACCAGGAGCCCATGGGCTGTGGAACTGCATCAGTAGACAAAGCACGTCCCATTTCCACCTTCTGAGGAAGAGCAGAAAAAAAAAAAAAGAAAAAAAGATGATAAAATCTTGTTAAAGGGCTCTCACCTAACAGCACAGAGCAACTGACAACCTAGAAAGCTTGCCTTCAAAAATAACACCGTCCATCCCCCTGCTTTCGCTGTCTCAACCCTTTCCCAACAGTACCTCATCTCTCTTGTGACCCAAATCCCTTTTAGCTGCAGTGGAGTTAGCCAAATAAAGCTACTTTGCAACCAGCACTGCGTGTAACTGGGTTTGAGGGCGTGTTTGAATGTTGCAGGCACTTCTTGGCACAGAACCACTTTCTATAGTTGAGAGCTGTTTCACCCGTACTTACATCACGAGGTAATGTCACCCCACTGCGAGTCTCCTAGAACACTCTTCTATTTTTGTTGACCAAATGCAATTTCTTTCCATCCCATGTTCTCTGAGCCAAGCATTAGAGAAGAGCAACAGAAAGGATTCTTGGCCACAAACAAACAACAAAAAAACAACACCACAAAACTGAACTAAGAAGAAACTCTCCCACCAAACAAACAAAAAAACCCCACCTGGCATCACTTCACCTCCCTCTCAACTTCCGAATCATGACAATGAATGGGAAAAAAATACATTCTTAAATTCAATCCTCTGCCACTTCCATTCTCCTAAAGACTGAAATGGTAACGCCAGGCTACAGCACAGCTGGAGCCATGGTGCACGGCGCTGGGCCAAGCTGTGACCTAGAATGACACTGAGTGTATCAAGTAGATTTTAAATCATGCCTTGTTTCCATCACCTGCCAAGTACTCAGTGCAGACCGAATGCCATTCAAAACCAGTCCAATCCTGCTGGCTTTGGGTACAGTTCACATATGTGGATATAAGCCTAACAGGCTTTGTGGGCATAGCATCACATTCTCAATTAGCTTTCCATGGATTTCTCTGTCACAATCACCTATTTTGAGCCACAACCTACTTAGCTGAATCTTCCCCAGCACTGAGTCACGATCCGTTACGCCTGGCACTGATGCAGTCACGCCATGAGCGACCTCTGAGTGCTGCAGCTCTCCCCGGCCCCATCGCTCTGCAGAACATCGCAGGAGTCAGGAAGAGGTTTCAGAAGAGAGCTGCTGTTACATCAAGGATACGCCTATTTGCTGCTTGGACATCAACGTTCTCCATGGATTAAATGTTATTAAATTGCACAATGGAGGGAATGCATGATCTAAAACTGCAAAACGAATCTAGACTGGACATGGAAAAAGGCTTCAGAGATGAGACAGAAAAAAATAATCATTTATATTTACTTTTATTCCAAGCTTTTCTTTATTCAGCCTTATACCACTAGGGAGGCATGCAGTACAACTGCAGATCTCCTGCCAGGGGGTACATCTTCAGGAGAAGCCTGACCAAGAAAGGGCATTTTGATGAGTACTCCTTTCCCTCGATGTTCAACTCTCCTGAAAAGCTAGTAAAGCTCTTCATGCCGCTTATTTTCTGTGCCACATTACAGTTCCAAAGCTTTACAGAAAACATTGCTCAGATTGTTACAAAGCACGTGGCATTGCTTGTGGTTCATGACAGCCGGAGGGCAGATTTAAAAAAAAAAACTTTCAGACTAAATGTTGCCTGAAATTTCAGGGATTGCTCTCCATCCTGACAGTCATTTGCATTTCTCATTTCCCAACTAGCCACCTCTACATTGTCGTTGTATACTTAAGGCACTGAGGTCCCCATCTCACGTTCAAATGAATTAGTAATTTTCTGCTAAATACCCAGGTAAAACTACCCTGCAGAAAACGCAGTGCTTGTCCCTAAGAAAAAAGAAAAAGCTAACTACTAATGCATTGAGTGGTGCTCTCAAGTGACCTTCTTTCCTTCCAGGAGTTCAGGCACATCAGACTTACTCCTGCTTCAATAAATTCAGCGTGCGTTTTCCAGGTAAAAAATTACAGTGACTGTCCAACTCCTTTTAACAATGGTTAATTATGAGTTCAGAGCCACAACAGCCTTTATTGCTAGTACTAATTACCTTTGTCTTAAGCTTTGACAAAATACTTAAAAGAGGGGAAGACAACATAAAGGGAGAAAGCAAGCATTTAGCAGAGGTAAGGAGCGCTTATTACTAATCTGCACCCCAGGAGCTGAGATGAAACTATGAAAAGAAATAATCCTAGGAAACAGGTTTGAATGAGCAGAGATAAACATGGGCTGATCAAAAGCAAAGAGCTGGAAAAGGCTGATTGCAGAGAAGCTGCAGGGATGGGCTTTAAGCTACAGTGAAAAAATGGGTATTATTTTACTAAGAAAAGCAGCTGCATATTTGTGTTCAGAACTAAAGGCTGATTTTCCAAGGCATTTAATATATCACAGCAGCCCCTACAGTTTTTCAGTTAAAAGTGCACCACCACACATAACTGGGCCTTGCTCACGTTGTCACAAATTACCTTGCATCAAAACAGAAAACGGGATTCGATTCTTGTGGCTGCTCCATGACCCAAGCTTCAGCCCATGCACACAAAAAAATGGGGACACCAGGAATTTAGCACCAGTGAAGTGTTTTGGACTAGATGATCTTCAGAGGTCCCTTTCAACCTCAGCCATTCTGTGATTTACAGAACAAGTCTGCTGTGAACAGACACTGAGGAAGAATCAAAACCCCCAGTTTCAGGTATGCTTGAAGCCTGAACTGTTCGAATGGATTTTACAAGACTCAAGCCTTCCTGTTTGCCTGATCTTGCCTCCCGTGATGCGAACAGCTGAACGAGTCCCAGGTAAGTGAAGAGTGAAATGAATCCTAATCCATTTAAACTTCCCCCTGTGTTCTAGTTGAGACTTTAGTGGCTCCATCAGAGGAGAACCTCTAAGACACCAAGACCAAGATCATCAACTGCATCACTCAGGCTAAATGCTACTTTTGTGAAAGCAGAGATAAAGAGCCTGCAAAACAAGCTAGACTTAATCGCATGCAATGAAAAATTAGCAAACTTATGTTAAAACAAGTAATAAGCCAGTAAGATGCTGCAGAGAAAAATTCTCTATGTAATTCTACAAACATGGAAATACAATTCTGTGGAAGTAGAGAAATGCTGTGCTGAACTAACTTTAATGCAAAAAATAAATAAATAAAAAACAACCAACCAAAACCAACCAAACCAAAACTCAATTGTTTCTCAATATTATAGTTCTCTGTTGGAATCCACTACAGAATGTGAACATTTACCTTTAGATGATGTTGTTTTATTCCAAAATTTTAAAACAAATTAAGAGTAACTGTTGATAATTGAAAGAAAGGATCTGGCAGTTTGGTAGAAGCCCTCAACTCCAGTTATTCATAGCCTTGTTTCTTCTTTGGCTGAAAATTTCTAATAGAGCCCACATTGTTATTTTAATGATAAAAGTGTGGGGAGAAGAAAGTCAGGTAAAGGTGACAGCACATATGCAAACAGAAAATATGCACCTTTGATTTCCAGTTAACAGAAATAAAGTCAAAAGGCACAAAAAGGTGGCCTGGTGCATGAGGAAACCTAAGGTAACAGTCAGCACGTGGTCTCTGGGCACTGAGAAAGACACGCAGGCCATGATTTTCAAACTCCTAAGGAGTATTACAGTGCATGGGAACTTTTCCATAGATTTCAGCGGATTAGGCTTTCATTTTGCTATGATGAGCAACTGTTGGTGTCTAAATAATCAGCTGCATGGCGTAACAGGCACACATTAGGAATCTTGCATTTAGCAGGTTTTGTTTTTGTTTTTTTAAACCTTGTACATTTGAGAGCTTGTGCCATATTAACCTCATTCAAATACTGTGTGCTCAGACTGTGATTTGATAATCCTGCATCTCAACAGCCACAAAAAAAGCAAACAAACAAAAAAACAACCACAACTGGAAGGCTGGATTGTTCAGGGAAATGAAGAGCAGCAGCAGTATCTTCACAGACCCCAGAAACATCCTCAAAGACACCAACACTGATAAGGTTTAAGTATTTTTCTTTCATTGTTTAAATTTTGAGAGCAGCCATATCCCACATTATTTTATAATAAACAGTTTGTATGACACTGGTCTGAAGTGCACAGAAACATCCACATAGTGATCTGATCACACAAAACATTGGTGGCACTGAAGATAATTTCAGCAAGCCCTGTTAGTTTAAATAAATAGCATTTCCTATTATTAGGCCTTGTCTATGTAGCAAAGTTACACAAAGATAACCTAAAATAGAAACTTAAATGTAGTGAAATTAATCAGAAGACCTGGGTATATAATCCTTTTTCATGATCAAAGTTACTTGCAGACTAGCTTAACTCAATTGGGAGCAGGCTTATATTACATCAAAAGAATGTCTGCAAATGAATCTACATTGTTAATTAAACCCAATATGAGTTAGTCAGTACAAATTTCCCAAAGAGTCAGTTTAACTGCAGTTTAATGCCAAAAACAAAAGGGCACACTTGACAGAAAATACATAATCTCCTGAAAGAGCTTCTTTCTGAAAGGTGATTTGCACTTTCTGAGGATGTGCAACTCCCACTTGCCACTGAATTCAAGGGAATTCAGTTTTCCTCAGAGGCAGGCCCAATAGTGGAATTAATATCATTGTATTTACTGCAAATACTTCCACTCACTTGCTGGAAAAGAGATGTTGAGATGGCAAAATAATGTGCCGAGATTAGACTATGGTACATCATAATCTATATTCAGCAAAATAATCAAACATTGCAGACAGATCATGTCCACTATCGGATCAACAGACGCTTCTACAGCCTTGCCTACAGACCTTCTGGACTGTCTCGCTCATCTTTACAACCGTCAGACCAGTTTTGTGCAACTGCGACATGAATAAGCCTTTATGAAATAATAAAAAGCTTTTCCAGATAAAAACTATGCTAAATGTTTGCTTGATATGATGAGTAAACCCATCCCATATCATACCTATTCATTACACAACAGTAGTGTTTTATTCAGTAGTGGCTTCCCAACCACAACAGAAGTGGCCACAACTTCAGGTGCAATCAAAATTAAGCAGCTTATTGATACGCCTGGATAAGCAAGAATAAATATTGCTTCAAGCACACTGTTTTGCAGCTCTTAGGATAAATGATATGTTTCATTCGTTTCCAAGCATAATATTCAGAAAATGGCAGCTTAAGCCAACATGTTTGTAACACCAGAATTTCATTGTTCTTCTGGGAGAAACATACTAGAAAATACTCTTTATTGTAAGGTGCTCAATTTGCAAAATTAAAAAAATAAAAATAATCCCTCCAAGTCTCGTATTTGACTTGCTTTCTGTCCAGAATAAAATGACAAAACTTGACTACAGATACTTCATGTAAGGAGAAAGTGAAGACTTGTTATTCAAGAGTTTCCTTTCCAAAGGCAGGCATGAATTTGAAGTCACAATCTGCTTGAGACATTACATGTCAGGTTCACTCTTTTTCTTGTAGATTGTGCATCCTCTTAACAACAATTTGTGGCAAGTTGGTTTGATAACATAAGATGTTCTAGTTTCACAACTGAGCTCTATGCTGCTTTAACAAGTGAAGATTTTCGGCCAAGCCTATCGCAACAATTAGCAGCACTATCATTACAAGAGATTTCCCTTAAGGCAATACAAGTAGAGCATTAAAAAGAATATGAGGTTTGGATCATCCCTGGAGTTTTTGACAAAAACAAACCAAGAGAGAAGAAAAAGAATTGACTTAAGATCAGTTAAGCTCCTAACGAGCAAAGGCCTCTGTCAGTCTTAGAGGATCTGTTCCTCAATTTATCAGTAAGAGAAACAAATCCAACTTCTTACTCCTTTGCTGAGAATGCCAGCCAGAAACTCCTAAACAAGAGCTGACCTTTTCCAATACCATTTTTTTTTTCTCATGAGGACAAAGCTCATTACCACCTGCCAGCCATCAGCTAGTAAAGATTGTTCTCTGCCCCAACCCATCATCTTGTTCCTTACAGTGGAAATACTGTAACCATTCCTATATTCAACTACCCCAGTACTGAAAGCAAAATTCAAAGTGTTTAAAACTTCTTTTATCTGCTGTAGCTGTATTTCTTTGAACTCAAAGGTATATTTGGGAGAGGTAGTCCAGGAGAAAAGGGTTTCAAGTACCAAACTCTGTACGTTACATACCAAGCTGACAAACCTATCAGTGCACCAAGAAGCTTTTGACTGAAATCATGGAAATATATGGCAGTGCACACAAACATGAATACCCAGATCATGGTGAGAAAACACAAGGAAACAAAAAGGCTGTTGACCACAACACGCAGCTTTGAGTTCTGGTCTATGGACAAGCCTTCCAGCACTGCCATTTCCTCCACAATCATTAGAGCACAGTACGAGAGCAGAAAACAGTGCCCTGAGATATCAAAACCATTCCAGATCCCATTGTTCTGGTGGCACTCCTGCTTGGTGGCGTACAGCCGGTGAGGCTCGTTGTGTTTACCCGAGGTAGAGCACATGCCGGTGAGATTCTCGATATACATGAAGAGTCCGGTGCAGACGTACCAGATGGCAGTGCCCACCAGCAGTGCACTAAGACGCCGCAGAGCTGTCAAAATGCTCTTCGTGGGACCATAGAGGAACTTGCTCTTGGCAAAAAAGTAGGTGGTAACTCCGATGAAGGGCAGCAGAAGCCAGAACGTCCATGCCCAAGCCACCTTGACAAAGTATCTGCCAGAGAAAAGCCAGAAGAGAAACATGCACGTGTGAAATTTCATAGGAGCCAGGACGAGGGAGCTGGGGGTATGTTATGGTGCTTGAACTAGCAGCTTTTCAAGGTCACTGTTCAGAGCTGTCTAAATTAGGCACATGATTCCTGCCCTCTGAGTACAGTATAAATAAAATCTTAATCCTCTCCCCATTAATTTCTCTTGGGTCCAAAACCTGAGTACTTTCTTGACCACATACTTCAACTGTTTCCCAGGCAGCAATCCCTTGGACCTAGAGCCTCATTCAAACCCCTAGCTGACTTGCAGTTCAGCTACTGCAATTGCCTTTACCCTACAAACCCATTCAACTTTGCCTTACTCAAAGAACAGCTGCAAAGATATTCTCAGCCTGCCACCCTGACCACAGTAACCCTTTCTCTGACTTTCAGTGTTCCCCTCTTCCTCCATCTCAGATTATCTTTGCTTTCAAATCCCTTCACAACCTCACCCTCTTCATACCAAGATACCAGGAGAAGGGCTGACTCTTCTCCCTCATCAGCCCACAACACTCTTCCTCCATTATAGCTTGTAAAATAAATGAAGTAACATAACCTCACAGTAGTGTCTGGTCTTTTGCTATCCCTTCAGTTGATGAAAGCCATCCTATGGCATACACAAACCTTTCTGTCTCAAAACTCACTCTCTGCCTTACCTTTTTTTTCCTGTGACGTCTGTAAATCTTGAAAACGAGCTGACAACGTGCTGCTATCCTGTTTAACAAGATATTGCCTAACTAGTCCTGCCAGCATTGTGTAACTAGTCCCCTTTTCAGATCTTGCAATGGGGCAGGTTCAAGTGAATTTACTACTTCGTTAAGGAGACTGTGGCCTCTGACCTTTGTCCCAGCAGCACGTTCCCAGGCAGCTTGCTTCCTCTTTACCCACATCTTTGTTTGAAAAGCATAGGCAGAATTCTGGTCTGTGACCAAGTTATAGCCAGACACACTCATCATTTAATCATCACCTACCTCAGCACCTCAGACAAGAACAAGCAGGAACAAAGCTCTATGTTTTCATTATGGTCCTAACAAAAACTGTCAGGGGCTGCCCAGGACTTTAAGGAGCACCTCCCTCGCCCTGCACTGTACAGCAGGGGCACCTGTGCAGCAACTACAGCTGAAAATCACAGAATCACAGAATTTCTAGGTTGGAAGAGACCTCAAGATCATCGAGTCCAACCTCTGACCTAACACTAGCAGTCCCCACTAAACCATATCCCTAAACTCTACATCTAAACGTCTTTTAAAGACCTCCAGGGACGGTGACTCCACCACTTCCAAAACTCTCATTTGGCTGAGACACTTAAAAAAAAAAAAAAAAAGGCTGTTAACACGACTGCTGTCACCAAACCAGCACACAAATGACCTGTGGGGAAAAAAATTGCCTCGGTACTGACACAGCTCCCCTCTTTCAGCCGGGCAGGGCACCGCAGCACCACCAGACCAATTCCCCTCTGAGCACCCTGCCAACTGCTCCCTGCAGTCACGCTGAAAGCACGTCCTCTACCACGTGTCGGCAAGCGAAAAATTCAAATCAATAAAGTAAAGAACCCCCAAGTCGCCAGGGAATACAGAAATTTTAGCTTCATTTTCTGCTCTACAGCAGGTAGAGGATGGGTGCGCTCGCATGGCTCAATGCCTTCAGCATTCAAGCAAAGGGTTAAGGAAACGCTGAGCCATCGCCTAAGGAGCAGAAAACGAGAATAATAACGCTGCTTTTACAAAGATGCTGAAAGACTTAGGCTTGCAAGACTTCAGCTTGCTTTTGGATCAATTCACTGCCAGGTCTGAAAACCTGAAAAATTATCTGGGAGCTGAAGAAGGGGCACGGTTCCCCCTCCTCCTCCTCCTGGCAGCCCCCGGCAGCCCCAGCCCGGGGGGACCCGCAGCCCCCCTCACCTCCTCGCCCCCCGAGGGCCCCCCCAGCCCTCCTCACACGTTGAGCAGGTTGCGCTTGTTCTGCATGGGCGTCTCCGGCACCAGGTCGCCGTCCTTCAGCGCCGACCCGAGGAGGACGATGCCGAGCAGCACCCAGGGCAGCCGGCGGCGCACGGCCCCGGCCGCCAGCCCGGCGCGCAGCGAGCGGCTGCACCGCTCCAGCCGCTCCATCGCTCCCCGCCCGCCTCCTTCGCGGCCCCCGGAACGAGCCGAGCCCGGCTCCCGGCTCCGCCCGCCGCCACCACACGGCCACCGCCGAGCTCCTCGGGCGCCCCCGGGCGGCGCCCGCCGGGCCCCCGGCCCCGCGGTGGCGGTGAGGGGAGGAAGGAGCGCGGCCGCTGTGGGCATGCGCGGCCCCCGCCCCGCCATGTTGTGGCCGTGCCCTCAGGGCGCCGGGCTGCGCTGGGGGAATGGGGCCCGGCCGGCGGGGGGGTTCCTGGGCTCTCGGGGTGCTCCTGCCCCCGACAGACGACTCAGGGGTGGGCAGGGCTTAATCCCCTCGAGCTTCCCTCGCAAAGCTCTGAGGGCTTTGTGGCTGCAGTAGCTGATGTGCCTATTGAAGGAGCTGAGTGATCCTAGCAGGGGGAGAAAGCGCTCTGCAGGGATGCTAACACAACATTAAAATTGGGTGGACAAGAAGCACTGCTTTCTAGCCAAAAGTCACCATCTGGCTTTAAAGAAGCTCCCGTGCTGGGCATGCAGCTGAGGGACACGAGCAGCCCCACCTCTCACCGCAAACAAGCACAGAAAACCGGGGATCTGGGGGCACAGCACGCCTGGTTCAGTTCCATGGCACTCTGAGGTGTAAAGTGGAGTACAAGCTCCAAATCTATCACATATAATGAGAGAAATGCTGCTCAAACAGCGAGATCTTCAACATATCATAGAATCATAGAATATCCTGAGTTGGAAGGGACCCTTAAGGATCATCAAGTCCAACTCTTGACACCGCACAGGTCTACCCAAAAGTTCAGACCATGTGACTAAGTGCACAGTCCAATCTCTTCTTAAATTCAGACAGGCTCGGTGCAGTGACCACTTCCCTGGGGAGCCTGTTCCAGTGTGCAACCACTCTCTCTGTGAAGAACTTCCTCCTGATGTCCAGCCTAAACTTCCCCTGCCTCAGCTTAACCCCGTTCCCGCGGGTCCTGTCGCTGGTGTTAATGGAGAAAAGGTCTCCTGCCTCTCGACACCCCCTTACGAGGAAGTTGTAGACTGCGATGAGGTCTCCCCTCAGCCTCCTCTTCTCCAGGCTGAACAGGCCCAGTGCCCTCAGCCGTTCCTCGTACGTCTTCCCCTCCAGGCCTTTCACCATCTTCATAGCCCTCCTCTGGACACTCTCCAACAGTTTCATGTCCTTAACATATGTCACTAAACTACATATTCAGAAGCATTGTTTTTCCACCCTAATGTATCAAAACAAGAACAAAAATAACTTTTTACATCCATTACCAAATGGGTAGGTGGCTTCCAGACCAGAACATCAGAACAGGGCATCAAGGGGTTATACTACGCACCATAAATGAACATCCATTCCTTGTAGAGTAACATGCACAGCTTCCCTTAAAGAGAATATCTTTCCATAGTATGTGAGAGAGAATTTCAGAGCATTCTCAAACATCCTAACATGTAACTTTTGAACTTTTTTTTTCTGTGCTTGAAGAGTGTTTCTGGTAAGACTCCTGCACTGTTCATACTGCTGAGAGCAACAGTGCCCAGGCACAGGCAGTCTGTCACTATGGTGTTTGAGACCTGCTTCATCTATTGAGCTGCTGCAGATGTCATTTCAACTTATGTTTTGGAAAATAAAACACCATCAGCAAGCAGAGAAATTGCTAAATGAACAAAGAGCCTTTATTCATCTGAATGGCCTTAGTAATAAAAAATGTGAGGTGAAAAGAAAGCAGACCCTATCTGAGACAGGATGGGAAAGTATTTCTTGCCAGAGTGCATTTCAAAGCCTTTTTGCAGTCATCGTCAGCAAATCTATGACAACATCTGGGCTGAAAGAGCAGAAGGATACATCAAAGTCGACTGACGCACAAGCAACTGCAGTAGATATGGACAGTTTCAGCTAAGAAGGTTATCCAGGGTAAATGGCATTTGGCAATTTATTGTATGTTGTTTTTAACAAGACTGACATGGCCACGTCTAGCACTTCTAGCCACAGCATTGTACCCCTGAATTAGAAAAGACAGACAGCTGCGTTCACTCAAATGAGTGAGGATAACAGGGTCTGGGAGCAGGTTTCACAGAGTCCAGCATTGTCTGCCTAAATCCCCTCCTGTGGGAGTCCAGCTGCCTTTGAAACTTTTCCTTCTTTGCTTCACAGGTTTGGGTCTCTGATCTCCAGATTGTTTTCAGTGCCTGTGAGCTGGAGATGGCAAGTTGCTTGGTTGGCTGTTAATGAAGCATACTGTGGTGTCTACCACATTGCAGGAGGATTTCATAAGCTTGGCACCTGTTCCAGATGAATGGAATTGATGGCATGGGCTGGAAATTTGTCTGTCTTCAGCCCAGCTTGAAATGTCTGAGGATTATCTCTATAAATCATCAATTCTAGCAAGTGCAGTGAGCAAAGCTCAACTGGGTTCCAGGTGTCCTGCAGATTTAGACTGGATCTGTACTTTCATACCACGTATATGCTGCCACATGCACCGGCCAAGGCCAACAGTCCTTTTGAGGAACCAAGTGTAGTTCCCTCATTAAAAGTAAAAAAAAAAAAAAAAAAAAAAAAAAAAACACAAAAAAACAGAAGCAGAATTTAGATATTTCAAAACTGCAGAAAATGCTTTTACTCATAACCAGGAAATGGGGTTTATTCTAGGGCAATCGTAGAAGGTTCCCAAAATGTTCTCACAGACAGCAAATTAGTATTTGACAGCTATAAACAATAGCTAACTGAATTAATTGCTCAGGTATAACAAAACTGGCTGTCCTTTCCTTTTTTCATACCTTTTTCCTTAAGCTCACCAAGTCACTGCCTGATTCAAGCTGAATACTTCCAGACTATTTGATGAAGACCATTGTTTTTTTTTTTCCTCCCCGTTTGAAGAAAGTGTTTAATTTGAACCAAGGCCCCAGACAAAGTTGGTGAGCATTGCCCCTGCATGCCCAGTTGCCCAAAGCTTTGGGCAATTATTTGGACATGCAACATGGAAATCACAGCATCCTGAGCAGAGGTCTGAAATGAGATCAAATATGCCTTGAGAGTGTCCTTGCTCCTGAGCCGCATCAGATTGGAGGGAATCTTTCATGGTCATAAAGTTCCATGTTTTAGCAGGTGTTCCATTATTCATTGGAGCAAGAACAATGACACTGAGTTGTTCTTAATTATTTAAAATAATTACGTTACTTAAAAAAATAACTCATCTAGTTCTAGCAATTGTATTAATCATCCATTTCACTTTGATTGCAAGGAAACCTGCCTTTCTCATGCAAGACTATGGCATGGATGCCTTCTGCAGAATTGAGAATCTGGAAACAGTCACCTAACCTCAGCATGCAGTTAGTGGAGAGAGACCCTGACCCTTCACAGCTCTTGCCAGACCTTTTTGTCTGAGTGACATTTTGCTCAGTCATAGTATGATTTCTGGGTCCACTACTCTGTTGCAATCACAGATAGATGCCTAGAGAATTAAAAAAAAAAAAAAGCATATATATTTTAAACACAGGAAAGGTTGGTTCTTCTCTGACCCGAGTTTGGGCTAAGGTGAGCTCTCACCAGCTGATCTACCCTTAGGGAAGACATGCTTCAGGAAGCGCTCCCCAGGCACCTGTGCCAGGGGTCATGCTGGAGCTCAGCACAGCCACTCACCTGCCCACACAGCTCAGTCTCTTTGCCATGGATGTGGTAGCACGCAGGCACAACTTGCACCTCATCCTCACTTGGAATCAGGAGGAGACAAGGACAACAGGTGCCCTTCAGAGCACACTGCCTGTGGTTGCACACTTGATGGGTCTGAGATACCCCTGTAAGGCACCCGTCTGGACCTGGGAGACCTCCCCGTCTTCCCAGCTTGCCCTCCTGTCTCAGAACAATACCTACAACCCGGTGGCATCTGCTTGTCCATCATTATCTGCCTGCTTTTCACCCTGGGGTCCATCTACCCCAGCTCTCTCCATCCACAAGGCACTTTCCAGATGGAAACCATTTAGAAACCACGGGCTCTCAGTGGTTGTGGCACCCCTCCTTTCCAAGCCTTGCTTGCTCTGTTTTCCTTGGTGAATGCTGCTCACATCTCCATGATTGATTGTGTTTGAGTTTGATTGTTAAGTGTGCTGGGATGTTTGCATGAGAGGTGCTACATAAGCATTATCTGTGCTGTATTTTCTTTGCCTAATAGGAGCTTAAGCTTGAAGTCGAAGATAGTTTTGGCCCTTTGCTGAGACACCATCCTTCAACTTCAGTGCTTTCAGTTCTGCAGCCTTCTCTGTTCACTGTCAGCTTAAAAAAAGTATGCTTTGTTCCTTTCTGTGCCAGTGATGCCTTTGAAATGCAGCCAGAGCAGAGTCACCACAGCCTTCCCATCACACTGACCCGGATCCTCGCTGCCTGTCCCTGGTGCTGAGGGATGCTCTTCACACCAGCACACCTCATCATTGCTCTGCAGAACCAAGGGCTTCTCACTTCTGTGACCGGATGCTGCATTATTTGCAGCAGAAAAGACAAATCAAGAGACAGGAGAGAAAACAGTCATTCACAACCTGTGCGTCTGCTCAAACAAATGGGAAAGACCTTTCCTCATCCCCAAACCCACAAAATGTTGGAAGAAGTTATGGAAATTAGCCCCAGGTAATTTGTATAGACTGGGCCCAGCTTTAAAACCTCTGCAGGTCACACATTTCCCCTCAAGCTCTTTTCAGATGAATCGGAAGGGTATGATTTTAGCTGAAGGGAATTTTCAGCATAGCTGGTGGTTATACCCAAAGATCAAAATATTTTGGGATACAGGGCAAAGCCTAATAAAGAACCAATTCAGTTTTCAGTGGAGTAAACTTTACTAACACTACAAATTAATACCTACTGCTACAAAATATTTATGTTCCTTGCTCTGCACAGCCAGATTTCAGTAGGGCAGACTAATGACAGGTCTGAATTTATGGAGGAGGATGGTCTGGTGATTAGGGCCCCGAGCAAGGATTCGGAGGGTCTGGTTTTAATTTGTGGCTCTGACAAACTCCCTCTAAAGCCATAGGCAGGTTCCTTAACCTCTGTATTCCCATATTCCAGGTGGGAAATGGGAGCAGTTACATTTTTCTGCTTCCTCAGAGATAATGTGAGGTTGCGGAGAGATACAGTATCTAAACAGCTTAAAAATAACCAGAGCTCACAAAGCTATAAAATATTTATTCTTGCTACAGAGAGAATACAGCAGCTCATTAGCAGATGAAATGGGGATGAGATTACACCTAAAAATGTCTGATTCATGTAAGTATACATGCACTTGTGCATAAAATGGTCTTAATTAGTCATGTTTCTGTAATTACCTGACCTCCTGACCTAGTGCAGCTGTGGTGGCTGTGTACAGCTCCCTGCTGAAATAGCTGGCCCGGTTTGCATTCACCTTTTTGCACAGCAGATAACGTGCTTTCTGTGTTTGCCAAAGAAAATCTTCACTCCCAAACACCTGCATACATGAATTAAGTTGGTTCTGTGTTGTCTTTTCACAGTAGCTGATGTATTTCCCCAACCCCCACTTAACAGGATTCTCAGAGAAGCACGGCTACTGGTAAGCAACTCCCATCCACTTAGATTAACTTTTCTGGTAGTCCTGTGCTAGAAGTGTTATTTGTTTCTTTCATTTATTTGCTTTTTATAGTGGTTATCAATCACAGGTTAAACTTCATGCAGAATTCACAATATCCATGAAGCCCTTCATGGGTGGCCTTTGAGCTACTGTATAAAAATACAGGTTTTTTCTTTATTATTTTTAAAGAAAACACAGCTTGCTGTAACTGCTCAAATACGGGAAGAAAGTGATCTGTACTTATGAATTTAAATTCAGAAATATGAACTTCTCAGACTTTACCAGTGCATTTTTAGCTCATGTGTTTACATTCAGGTGTAGGACCTGGAGCTGCCTTTATGCTGATCAGCTGCAGGGACCACAGCTAGCAGTTCTAGCTTCCTGGCTGGATAACTGGCACAACAAACCACATAACATGAGCTGCAGCTGCTTTAGTCAAATATGTAATTACAAATATTAAATGCAAAGCTAAAAAATAAATATGCATACATAATATTTAATCTGTGCTTTACTGGCTTAGTTAATTATATAAGTGTCAGCTAGAAATGTGATGCAATTCGCCCTGAAAATAATCCCTACTGAAGTGCTCACTAGATAAAAATAATAATTACAGAAGACATCAAAGCATATGTTGACTGGCCAGTGGACTCAGGGTTATCCTAGTCTTAATTTGGCTGTAGTTAAGAAGTTTAAATTTACACATTTATTTTTGCTAATGATTTGTTTGGTTTCTTACCGATCTATTCCCTGCGCTCAGCAAGCTGAACACCTCCCGCTGCCCCCATCTGTGCTCTTCCACCACAAGCTGCTCCACATCTCAGCCTGCATCAGAAGGGGAAAGGAGGATGCCCAAGGCTGGGGAGTTCCAGCGTGATAACCAGCCACAGGTGCTACTGGAAGGACAGTGGGGTGACAGACAGAGGCACTGAGCTGTCCTCAGGACTGGGATGATGGCTAAGGCACTGATCTGAAGGAGAAGCCAGAGCTGTGCTAGTGTCTGAGCTTGGCTTCATCACATTTTTTCTGAGCCAGGCTCTTTCCTTTAGTGCCTGCAGGAGCTCAGAAGCACTCGTTTGGCTGTGGCATGCAACTCAGCTTGCCTTGCTGTGTGGAAGTGAGCAAGATCCTTGCACCTTCCCCATTGCATCCAGTGAGTTCTCTGTGAGTGCCCAGCTGGTGGCAGGGCACTCACTTCACCCAGCTTCCTGACACCAAGAGGAACAAGCCAGCTGCTCTCCCCAAGGAAATGCATCCCAGTCTGCCAGGAGCAGAGCATCCCCAGAATACCAGGGTCCTGTCTGCTCCTTGCCAAGCTGGTGTGAAGGCGTGGGTGTCAGCCCAACTCAAACCCTGCTGATGGTGTCCACGAGCAGCAGGGAGGCAGCTCTGGGTCCCCAGCCAGTTCCGCCAGGATGGACCCCAAACTGCAGCCACATCGAGATCCTACCGACAGCCCGGAGCTGCGCAGGGATGGCAAGTGTGCTCCTGCTGCCTGTTCTTACAATAAAGATCTCTCCAGCATATTTCTCTTCTAGGTTCTGTAAGAAATAGAATTACAGCCAAATCCTAGTGCTTTAGATCCGAGCATTTAACAGCTTTAGTTAAAGCAGTCAGGTTCTTTCCAGAAGTGTTTGTTTGTCCAGTTCAAACAAGCTGCTTTTCTTAAATACGAGCCTGCCACAGATGGGTGACCCAACCCCATCCCCGTTGACACGATTCAGAGGCTAGGAAAAAAAACACAAGATGTGCATCCTGCCACTGGGCTGAAAAAAGTGGCTGTTTCTTTAACATAGGCTCCAAACAATCAGAAAACCATTCTTCCCCCAGTGTGCAGAGGACGGGGGATGCCAGCACTGAGCAGCACAGGGCCCGTCCTGCAGCAGCATCCCCGCACCCACAGGGACGTGGGCATTGCTAGGGCTTTGAACTCCACTTCAAAGCTGTGGCCAGAGCAAGGTTTCTGTAAACTCAGGGAAACAGGTAAATATTTGTCAGGGTCAATTAAGCCTCCTCATCCCCTCAAAAGTCATCTGCATGGTCTGGCAGGCACAGAGCCCTGGGGCTTACCGAACCTCCCCAGGAGGCAGACAGACACCCAGCACTGCAGCGAGGAGGTCAGGAGGTTTTTCCCTCACCACAAGCCATGAACTCACACAGACTTCTCCTTCAGTTGCTGGCTGGTAGGCATAGGAAGGTCCTGTCCTCAGGCACAAAGGAAGGGAGAGGAGCAGAGCTGTGGTTTATAGCCCCTCCTCGCACCCCCATTACTCCAGATTGGCGTCAGCTGCTCGCAGAGGCTGAGCGCACACCTCCTGTGTCCCACCTGCTCCTGCAGGTTTTAGCGGTGGGCATTGCGAGCTATTGGTGCCAGAAGCTGTAACATCAGATAACACCTCCAGGAATTTATGAAGTTCCACTTTCTGACATCCCCTGGCCCATGCAGGGGGCCTGAGGTGTGGAGTGTGGAAGCCGGGCTGTGCTGCGATCGGCTGAGACACCAAACCCTACCAGTGCTCCCGACCTTCTCCTGGCTTAGCACAGCACAAAAATGCCATCTTAAAGAAGAAAAAAGGCAAGGGAAAAGCTAAAACCAGCCAACCACCGGATGAGACACATGCAGAAGGAGGCGGCAAGGCTCCTTCCCCCATCCCAAACCCCAGCTGCCGGTGGCTGATCTCCCCTGCTCCACCATGGCCCTGGGGCAACGCCACCCTCCCTGACTTTTAGCCAGATGTAGACAAGCTGTAGACAAGCAGAGGCTGCAGGCAAGCGGAAAAGGAAGCACCGGGGCTGTATCTGAGGCAAGCTGGGAGCCACGTGCTGGCCCTGAAGGTGCCTTTTCCCTTGGCTCCAGCCCCGCGTGCACCCAGCCCCGTGGCCATCCCCTCCTCGCTGCTCTTGGCACTGGGGCAGGGCCGCGGCAGCACAGATGCGTTGGCACAGGGCACAGCCAGAGCTTTGTCCCGCAGCCCCAGCGACATCCAGAGCTGCCGATGAGCTGCAGGAATCCGCCCGTTCACCTCCCTTTGTACTTCAAAGGCCGGAGGCTGGGAAGCGCGGGCTGAGCGCAGCTGGCAGCGCCCAGGCTGTTGGGAGATAAGGTATCTGTCCTCAGCCAAGCTGCTCCAGTTCTGGGCTTTTCGGGGGCTCACGTGTCTGTGTGTCCCCTGGTTAGGGGAGAAAAGAGCCTGGGGGAAACATCTCTGTGCTGGGAGAGGCACGGAGCGCATCGCTCCAATTTTGGATGCGCTCAGTTAAAGTTCACGTCCCTACAGCTCCTTTCTTTGCATCAGTATCAGTTGGTGGGGCAGGTGAGGACTAAGGAAATAAGGCAGAAAGGAGCACCCCGAGGGCTCATCTTCTGCTTTTCCAACCACTGTCCTGCTTTGAGCAAAGTGGTCCTTGCGAACATCTGAGCCCCCACAGCTGAACCTGAGAAATCTCTCGTCCAGGCAGGCAGAAATCTGATGGCTTGGGTCCAGCCATCTGGACGTGGGAAAGCTCGGGAGCCCCATGAGAAAAGGGAGATTTCTTGGCAAAGGCTCAGGCAATCTTTCCGGGAGAGCGGAGGGCTGGAAACATGAGGTGTCCGTCAGGCTGCGCCTGCTCTGCTGGCACAAGCCAGGAGTCCTCAAGGTGCACAGGTAAAGCAAGAGATTTTATAAATCTGTGCAAAAAATAGCAGTTTTTTTTTTTTTTTTTTTTTTCTCAGCTTTGATGCTAGAAGCAGGCAGATATCACAGCAATCCCACCCTGTGCTGCCCTGGGGGCATGGGATCAGCTCCTGCATGGTGCTGGGCACCAGCACCCCCCAAAGACGTGGTGCTGTGCATGAAGAGCGATGTGCCCAGTGCCACAGAGACCGAAAGCATCAGGGGCAGCCCCTGCTGTGCCGCTGCACCTCCACAGGGAGCACTGGAGGTGCTGGACCCTGCAGTTTCCCAGCCTGGTGAAGGGTTTTAACCCATCAGTCCTGCCTGCCCGAAGCCCCCGTCCTGCAGCCGTGAGCTCAGCCCCCGTGCCCCTGGGCACCCAGCAGCTGCTGAGCTGTGTCCCTCCATGGTCTGCTCCAAGCCTGCCTCTCCTGGCAGGTCGCTTCAGCCCTTTTCTTCTCCTGGACAAGCTGCAGATGCTGGAGGGCACTGCTGGTGCTGTTGGGGGAGTGAGCAGGGGTAGAGGGTGCCAGGGCCACCTGGGCACGGAGGTGACCAAGGAGAGGAACAACAGGAACAAGACCTCCCTGTGCAGCCATGGGAACTCACAGGCCAGAGAACGCCTGTGAACCAGCGCCAGGTGCTCAGTTTCTATCTTAATTTTGGTCTAGGAAAAAAAAAAAAAAAAAAAAAAAAAAAAAAAAAAAAAAGCACGCTGAACACACAGGGGCTCCAGTCAAGCTGCGGTGCACACCCGTCCCAGCAAGAAAATTACATGGGGAGGCTGCCAGGGTGTCCTGACTTCACTTTGCTGGGTCTGGGCTTTTGGGGCTGCGATCCCACAGCCCCTGGCCAGCTGGGATCCAGCCCTCCAGCCGAGCTGCAACATGTCCCCGTGGCCAGTCTGTGCCAGACACCGAGGAAAGAAGTGACCTTGGATGCTGCCGGCTGTGGGGTGGGTTTTGCCCCTGTGCTGTGGCACCCAGCGATGCGCAGCCCCGGTGGGTGCTGCTGCTCCTGCTCGCCCTGTGCTCACATCCCCAGCACGGGCGCAGCAGCCATAGGGCCAGAGGGGATGCTGCGGGCTCTGGATATGCACTGCGGCAGCGTGGGGTGGCCACCAGCAGAAATTGGCCGTGGTCTGGGCTTCATTGGCTAGTGGCAGGGGTGGGGAGCTTCCACCTGGACCCCTTTGCACCAGCAGTGCGGGACAGAGGCTGAACATGGGCTAAAATAAAGGATGGATGTGGTCGTGCCACGAAGCCCGGCAGCTGGACATGCAGACACCAAGCACCAGGCGAGGTGAAGAACTGCAGATATTCACCTCCCCGGCACGTTTGCAGGGCTGCTGGCAAACAGTAACAGCAAATTGCCTTTGAGCTGGGCTTCGAGTAGCTGCCGTGCTGTTTGCTAAGTGGATTTCTAAACTTAGCCCGGTTACTGTAAAAAATACCTTCGCGAGAACCTTCTGTCTGCAGCTTCAACTTCAGAGAACTTCGTTTCTCGAGACGGCAGAAAAATTTCTCGCCGTTGAAAGGCACCGATTGTGCCCCACTGCTGGCAGGAGCTCCCCGCATCCTCGTCACAGCCGTGGGCACGCCGGGAGAGGCGGTGTGTGTGACCCCGCTCCTTCCCAAACAGATCACTTGGGATCCTGGCAGCCCGGCAGCCTCGCCCTTTGGTGGGCAGCGTTTGGCCACTGCTGCCTGAATGCCCCCAGACCATGGGTTTTGCTTCACTCCCCAAGGGCAGGGCTCTGCCGCCCTCCTCATCCTCACCCGGAGCAGTGGGACGTCCCCCTCAGGCTTTTGGTGTGAAATCCTGGCGTTACCTCAGCCTGGAGGAGCCGAGGCACATGGACGGGGTGGCAGCAGGGTGCCAGACAGCCCTGCCACATGCAGCCAGCAGTGTGGATGCTTTGGAGGAGTCGTTTTTAAAATGGGAGTCCTGAAGAGTCTCAGTGACAACTTAACTGCATGTTTACCTCCAAAGTTCACAAATAAACGCGTGAGGGTTGGTCTGGGATTTCTCATGTTGTAAAATACGAAGATCGAGTTCTTCTGACCTGCAAGTCAGGAGAATTTCCTTCCATGTGCCCTGAGGAGGAGCCTAGCCCTTGGCTGAGCAGCCTTTGACTGCCTCAGGGCTTTGGCAATGTCAGGAGACCCCAAATCCCTTTCTATCCCTGCCAAGGTGGCGCTGGGGTGGCCTGGCTCTGTTGCACCCGCTGAGGGTCCAGCTGCCTCCACTGCACCCCCATCCTTTGTGCCAGGGTCTGGGGAGCTCTGCGGGTCCTGGCCCCAGCACCCCCCTGCTCCACCCCTGCCACCTCCACGCACGGTGGAGGATGCCCAAAGCCCCAGACCAGGAGCCACACAGATGTGCCAGAGAAACCCTGCTGGGTGCCTCTGCCCAAAAAGCATCCGAGCACATCTCTGCTGAGGCAGGGCTGCGAACGCGGTGGTTTCTCTCCTTTCTTTCCCCAGTGCTCACTAAAATGAGCTCGCCGGCGCTGCTGCCTCCAGCCGCATGTGTGTGCTTCTTGGCGCCCTGCGAGCTGCTCTCTGCAGATGCCGTGTGCTTTGGCAGCCCGGCCAGTCTGGGCTGCAGGATATTACCCCTGGCAGGGACACAAACCCCTCCAGTTCCTGGAATTCGGATTGTCTCGCAGAGTGCTGATCAAGCAGCGCTTTCCCTCTGCACCCAAGGCAAACCCCTTGCCTGTCCCGTGTGGCAGCAGGACCATGGCAGGTTCACCTCTCCGACAAAGCAAGGCGCAGCACATTGGGGAAAAAAAAGCTATTTCCTCAAATGCAGAGCTCTGCAGTTCATGGCACTGGGCGAGCATTCATTATGCAGTGCTCTGTCTTCTGTGAAACAACAAATCACTGAAAAACCCTCCCTGCAAACCAGCCCCAGTGCCCTGGGAAGGCTGCATGTGGCGAGCAGCTCCCTGGGGCGCAGACGGGGATATCCCTCCTGCACACACCTCCCTCCGCCCCCGGGGCCCGCAGCACCTCCAGTTACTTTACAGGAGAGCAGATTCCAGGAAAACTCAACAAATGCTGGCAGAAACCTACCTGGGGCGTGTTTCAGCAGAGCCCCACAGCAGGGGGAGGCTGCGGTGGTAGCGCACACCAGCTCCGTACCCGCACCCTATTCCCACTCCATGCACACTCCTGGTGCTCCCCACGTTCCCGTTTCCCTTGTGCTGCAGCCTGGGTTTGCTGCGGGTGCTCAGCCAGCGCCAGGCTCCGCTTGTCTCTGCCACAACAGTTACGGGCTCTTGTGTTTCGGTGCCCTGTGACCACTCAGCCACCCCCCGGGGATGCTGACTGCTTGGGTGCTGCAGGAAAACACACCTGCTGCTGCAGGGTGATCTGTGCCCGACCGCTGCTGGCCTGAGGACACGTGCACCCCAGTGACTGTGTCCCCCAAGGAAGGGACATCTCTGCCACCAGCTCACAGCACCCTGGGGTCCCCCTGCTTCCCCACGTTGCCTTGCTGGAGCAACCCCCCTGCACCCACCCTGCTTTCCTGGCCGCAGCCCCCC